GGACTCGGAGATCACGTGGCCGCCCTTCTATACCCGGAAATCATTAGGTCCAAGGGCAATTTGAAATTTGTCTCGAGGGAGCGCGGCTATATGCCGGGGCCAAAAAACTCTCTGTTCCGTGGGGCGCGGAGGGGCGGGCAGGGGGCGAAAAGATGAAAGGACGCGGAGAGGAAGACGCGGTGGAAGAAGGAGAAGAAGAAGAAGAAGAAGGAGGAGGAGATGGAGGAGAAGAAGAAGAAGCCTCCGTTGTTCCCTCCGGTCGCTCGATAGCCGAATAAATTTGGGTAGCTCCCTGTTTTGGCCCGGGGCCACGGTTATACAGCAAGAGGTAGAGACTTTTTCGGATATACGATCGGACCTTTCGTAACGCGGCGCCGCGGACAGAGGCGAGAAGGGGCCCGGGGACGAAGGGCGAGAAAGAGACGGCCGGGTCCTTCTCTCACGATGGATTTAATTAAAAAACATAATTTAGAAGGGAGGATAACAGGTAGCTGCCGTTTGATGGGAACTAACGGAGGCACGGTCGCGGTGCAGCTTCGGTTATTCATGAATAAAATTATTAATCCTGTCTTCCAGCGAAACTTCTATCCCGCGTGTCCCGGGTCGTCCCTATCTCTCGTTTCCCAATAGCCACGAAACGCGCCGCCGCCGTGCCGACCCTAATTCCGCTTCGCCGGTACGGCCGCCATGGAACAACGGCCATGAAAATATCGCCGCGCTCACGGCGACGGATCTTCTCCGAATTCGACGGCGACGTACGCTCGACGGAACGGTGACCGGCGGGCGACGCGACGTCGGAAGTCGCCACGGCGCCGTTCGCGACTCGCGATCGCTATCCCCGCGGCGGTAATAAGCGCGGCCAGCGGCTCCGGGGTTGCGGCGCGATTTATCCGGTGGGGCCTGCGTGCCGACGCAGTTGCATGCGGAGACCGATAAACAAATAATTAGCATTAAGAGCGAGCGAGCGAGCCACGGCCGCGATATCTCGGCGATAGCGTTCGCGGGCGCCGCGCGCCGCGCGTACCCCGCTGTACCAGAGAGAAGTTGCGCCGACAGCGAACGGAGACGCTAACGACGACCCTCGCCGCGTAACGGCACCGCGTCCGGCGGACGACCGGCTCTCCCCGTCGCGGTGGAAACGACGTTCCCTTGGGTGGCCGAGAACCAATTAACAGAAAATACGAAAATTTCGCGGCGCGCACACAGCCCGGCGTGCTCGGCTTAATTTAATCCCTCGCGGCCGTTTTTATTGCCGCGGCAAGTTGTTACGGAAGAGTTTATTTTTACAGCCGGCGCAGCGTTGCTTTTATAGGAACCAGATCGATATTAAGATTGCGCGTGGCCCGTTCGTCGGGCTTAACGCGGGCCTGGATACGGCGCCGCGGCCGCCAGGAAACGAAAAACCTTTATTACGCGGTTTACGAGTGTTCAAGAGGGATATCGGGGCCGGCGACCCGCCGCGCCGGTCAGATAACACACCGAGATCGTCTCGGGGACTTCGTAGGAATCGCGCGCGTTTCGGAAAACCGGAGCGCGCCGCGTCGTCGGGCTCGGTCGCTCGTCCGTCTCGAGGTCGACGCAGGTGAATCGAATCGAAGGAGCGGAGCCACCGAGGCAGGTGGCTGCTCCGGTGCCGCTCCGAGCCGAGCTCCGGCGAATCCGGTCAATGGCTCTCCGAGAACGACCGTCGTCGCGTCGCTTTTTACACGGAAATCAGAAAAGACGCCGACCAATCTCGCGTCCGGCTCTATTACCGCGGAAAGGTAGAAGCCAGCTCTTTTTTTGCATCGATACCTTTAACCACCGTTTCGGGACGAAGTGCCGCTCGGTAGCTCGGCGCAGGAAACCACGGCGTACTCTATTTTGCGGCGGAACAGGGATTCGATGGAGTCCGCCAGGGAAATATGTTTGACGCGCGGACGTCGGATGCGGTTCGCCGCAAACCCCTATGGCCTGTCGAGTTCGCACGCCTGTCGGCTCCGGTTAGGGCTGTCGCTCGAACCCCGACGCCTCCGCGTCCAGCTGTCGCGTGGCGAGTGTTACGAGTGCGGCGAGCGTTCTCGCTCCGACACCCACCGGTTCCACTCCACCTTGCCCGTTTGCCACCCTGCGGACACCGCGCCCCGACCGGCCGTCGGTTAACCGGCGACAGGCTTAACGCCGACGCTCCAGGAAAATCGCGTCGCCCACCATTTTTCTATCGCGCGGCCCACGACGGATCTCCTTTTGACGCGGCGTCATGAATCTAATTCGTCACAGCGTCGGCCCGGTTCGACGCGCATCGCCGGTCAACTCGGCCGTAACATTCCGAGTCCTCTCGGTGGATGTCGGCCGGATGGACCGGCGGACAGGCCGAATCGTGTCGCCGATGGATGCCCTCATTGCAAAAACGCGTTCGGCCGATGCTTTACGACGTCCTGCAGCCCTTTCGTCGACGCTCTACGACGTTCGCCGGACGGCGTTCTCGGAAGGTAGCCACCGGCCGTGAGCCGAGCCGGACGGGCGAACAACGAGCGAACAGCTCCCTGGTTTTAATTTATGCGCGGCACTGCCGGAGGCGTTATTAGTCCTAGCTCTCGCCGCGATGGGCGTGACGTCACGCGGTTAAAACAAAGGATCCTAGCCGAGCCCATCCCACGGCGGGTCTCTTTCAACTGTGCCGACCGAAGGGCGCGAATCGTAGGACCGGACCTCGTTTACCCGGACGCTTTACGCTTCGCGAGCTTTCGTTCCACGAAACCGGCCTCGAGTCCTCGAGCCTCTCGAGCTCGAAACGCGAGCGAAAGAAAAGCAGAGCGCGCGCGGACTGATGCCTACGTATGTATATACGTCGCGGCGTGTGCGTGCGTAGCCGACATAAAACGCAGACGCTTCGCAAAGAATCGCGGTAATTGACGGAGGACAGGTATAATAGACGAGAGCGGGTGAATCGGGCACATACATCGGCGACTCGAAGGCGCCTCGCTCGTGCTGCCAGCATGCAATAACGACTCTTTTTCGTTCTGCGCTGCGTAATTATAGACTGGCCACAACTGCCGGCTAATATCGCTCTAATCGATAACCCTATTAACGCTCCGCACGGTCTCGTTAACGGATCATACGAATACGAAGCTCCGGGCTGCTTCGCCGCGATCGCGAACCCGAGCGGATCGGGTTCGCGGAGCCGCGGACACGATCGTGTCCGACGCTGAAAACGAAACCAGAGGAGGCTAATTGAGAGACGTCGTTGTCTCCACCGGGCCACTGTCATATCGTTCCGACGGATCAATAGGTAGCTTGCCTACAACCTGCACTCACGAAGCTCGAAGAGGGCGTGGCCCGTACACCATCGGTCGAGAGATACTCTCTCTCTCTCTCTCTTTCTCTCTCTCTCTAGTTCGCCCCATTCGTTCCCTCCCGCCGGTTTGCCCTCCGTCTATCCTCCGGCTTCTCTCCCCCGGCTGGTGGCGAGCCACCCTAGCCACGCGGCCAGGAAGGACGATTTTGTCTTCCACCCCTCGGCGAGCAAGCGTCGAAATTTACCGTCACCTTCCGATTCGTCGACGACACGGAACGAGGGCCAGCCTGTTCGACACCCCCTTCGGAAGCGACGCGCGGGTTTGCAGGCCCTACGACGAGGCTCCCGATTATCGACGATCGGAGGAGGAGAGGCTAAGAAAACGTCGGCGCGGTCGAGTCAGGAAATCCAACGGGTCTTCGAAAGGCGAAAGGTGCGAGTCGTCGACCCGGTTCGAACGACTCCCGAGATTTTCTAAAGAGCGGAACGAGCAAAGAGCTCGGCGCTCGCCGATGACCGCAAGCGTGGTTATTACCCTGGCAACCTTGCCCGAAGTCACGGGACGGGGTGACCACGGATTGGTAGGGTTCCGTCTCTCCGTCTCTTCGTCTCCTTCTCTCTCTCTCTCTCTCTCTCTCTCTCTCTCTCTCTCTCTCTCTCTCTCTCTCTCTCTCCCTCCCGTCCTCTTGGTCTCTATCAGCGAAGGGTGCGCGCACTCGTTGTCTTTGGTCGGTGTTGGTGCAAGGTTGAACCGTGTGGAGGCGTGTCGCCTCGATGGCGCCGACTGCTAATGGCTGCGCGGCCCGCCAGACTTTAATTTCCTGCCGCTTCCGCGGACCCTTTGCCTTTACCTTTCCACGTCCGAATCCGCGCCGGACCCTTCCCAGCCTCCAGCCTGCAGCCTTTCGGTAGCCGCCGACCGTCCGCTCGTCTTTCGTCCCGCGATCATTTGCATTCGAGCGGGATCGCGACGCTCCGCCACCACCCCTGCCAGCGTCTCTCGTAACGGCAGGAAAAAAGCTGTGGCTGTAGTATCGCCGAATCGGCGCGGGTTTTTATCGAGGGCGGACGGATACCGGGAACAGTCGGCGCTTAAAGTGTTTTACGCGAAGCGATTCGGTTTCCCCGGTTTTGTTGGCTCGCCGGCAATCTTCCACGTCTTCTAGGATAGGACCGGCAATTTTGTGTCATTATACACCCTCGGGGGAAGCCTCCGTCCCGTCCCGCCGCGCCGCGCCGCGCCACTCCTCGCCGGCCGGTGGCGAGCGGGCTCGGTTTTTTTGGGTCGATTTAGCCGCGATTATGGCCGCATCCAGCGGGCGAGCAAAGCGCTCGACTTCGATATTACGAGCCGCGTTGAGCCTTGAGAAAGCGTCTCAATCGGCCGGGGCTCGATTTCGTCGGATCGATATACGCGAGCGGACGCCTAATTCGCGAAGCTCCTCTCGAAACTCGTTATTATCGGTTTGCGTAATCGTATCGGAAGAGCGGGACCATCATTCGAGCAGGTAACACCTGCTCGGGAACGCGTTTCGCCGTAATAAAATCGTGGCTAGCGCTGCGCCGGTGTGGCCGACCGAACGAAAAATTGGTCGAAGGGTTCATACCCTCGCGTTTGATGCGATGCGATGCGATGCGATGCGATGGCGATATGATCCGGGAGGAGGGAATCGAATCGGATCGAATCGAATCGTAATCTCGTGTTTTGTTGTTCTTGTTTCAGGACCATCCGGGCTTGAGGGGCACACCGTTGGCGATGTTGGCGGCGCAGTGCAACAAGCTGAGCAGCAAGAGCCCGCCGCCGTTGGCGGACGCGGCCGTCGGCAAAGGTTTTCACCCGTGGAAAAAGAGCCCGCAGAGCAGCGGTAGCTCGCCGCAGCACAGTTCTAGCGGCAGCGGCGGGGGCGGGGGCGGCGGCGGAGGTGGAGGAGGAGGCGGAGGCGGCGGAGGAGGAGGAGGATGCACGACGACCGGCGTCAGTCAAAGACCGGCGGCGACGAGCAGCGCCGGCAGCACGACCGGCGGCTACGCTCGGGCCCCGGTGACTTCTTGCGCCTCGACGGCGCCCCAATACGGCAGCGACCTGTACTTTCCGGGAACGGCGAGCGCCCAACCGGCCGGCGATCCGCATCATCATCAGAGCAGCCTGCTCGGAAAGGTCGAGGGAGCGACCTTGGGCTCGGTGTACGGCCGACACCCGTACGAGTCGTGGCCGTTCAACGCGATGCCGGGCGCGACCCACGGCGGAATCAAAGCGAGCGACGGCTGGTGGGACGTGCACGGGGCCGCGACCGCCGGCGGATGGCTGGACGTGAGCAGCACGGTCGGCGTCGGCGTCCACGCCGCGCAAATGGCCAACTACTCGGCCGACTACTCGACCAGCCTCGCGCTCGCCGGCAATCATTTGTTGACCACCGCGACCACCGCCGGCCACAATCTCCTGCAAGACACGTACAAATCGATGTTGCCCGGCGGCCCGCCCGGATTCGGGCTGCACCACCACGCGGCCGCGACGGCGGGCGCTGGCGCCGGGGCCGGCAGCCCGCAGGGGAGCGGCGGCGGCGTCGGCGTCGGGGCCGGCGGTGTCAGCCAGGCCCCGTCGCCCCGCTCCCAAAGACGCTACACCGGCAGAGCCACCTGCGACTGTCCAAACTGTCAAGAAGCCGAGAGGCTTGGCCCGGCCGGCGTGCATCTTAGGAAGAAGAACATCCATAGCTGTCACATACCCGGATGCGGTAAGGTCTACGGGAAAACGTCGCATCTGAAGGCCCACTTACGGTGGCACACTGGTGAGCGACCGTTTGTTTGCAACTGGCTTTTCTGTGGCAAGCGGTTCACACGTTCGGATGAGTTGCAGCGGCACCTTCGAACCCACACCGGCGAAAAGAGATTCGCCTGCCCGGTCTGCAACAAGCGGTTCATGCGCAGCGACCATCTCGCGAAGCACGTCAAGACCCACAGCAGCAGCAGCAGCAGCAGCGGCAGCAAGGGCAAGGGGGGAGCGGGGAGCTCGTCGGCCGAGTCCTGCTCCGACAGCGAGGACAACGGGAGTCAGCAGAGTCCCACTTCCAGCTCGGTGCCGCCGCAGCCGCAGCCGCCGCCGCCGCCGCAGCAGCAGCAGCAGCAGCCGGGCCAGCAACCGGCCCAGGGGGCACAGGCCCAACAGCAACAGGCTCTGGTGGCGGCGGCGGCGGCGGCGGCGGCGGCAGCGGCAGCGGCGGCGGGCCAGGACACCAACAACACCACCACATCCCAGACCACCACCAGTCTCGGCCATCAGCCGACAACGCCCATGACCCCAATACAGATGACCCCGCCGCCTCTGACCCCACACCATCCCCACCACCCGCATCTCCCTCCTCTAATGCACCATCCGCATCATCACGCAACATCCGTGCCGGCGGCGGCGGCGGCCCACCACCCGCACGCGGGGATGAGCATGCACTGAGCCCGGTGGGGCCCGGAGCCGGTGCCTGCAGTTCCGCTGCCGCAACGGCCCTGGGCTCCCCCCTATCCTACCCCCTCAACCTGAACCTCGTACAGAACCACGCGACCATCGGTCACCACCACACCACTACCGCGCACCACCAACACCAGAATCAGAATCACAACCAACATCACCATCACCACCACCACCACCATCATCACCACCAACAACAGCACTCGCGTCAGAGTAACTCCTATTCCGTGCAACAAAATCCTGGCACGCCGGGGACCGCGCAGACTCCCTCACCCTCGTCCCCCGCGCCTGTACATAGTCTCTAGGTCTCTACGTCGACGGCTCAGCCACTCTTTCTCTCTCTCTCTCTCTCTCTCTCTCTCTCTCTCTCTCTCTCTCTCTCGCTCTAGCTCTCTTTCTCTCTCTCTCTTCTTCAATCATTTTTATGTTTCTCTCGAGGCCCTTGAACGGATTCACCCCCGCCCCCCGAATATATACGGATAGCGACGGAGCCTTTCTTTCAGGATGCTTCGATGCTCGAACCGGAGTCCCAGCTAGTCGAACCGGGCCGGCCACGGCCTTGTCGCCTAACGTAAGCGCGCCAACGTAAGTGTTTCCTGGCTCCGAATCGCGCCGACCAGTTCGAAGCGACGTACATTACATATTCGCACGCGTCCGTCGCTACCCTGTGTGTGTCTCTCTTTCTCACTCTCTTTCTCGCTCTATCTTTCTCTCACTCTCTCTTTCTCTCACTCTCACCCTACTTACTACACCAACACCCTCTTGGTTTCTGTCTCCCCGAACGTCTTCACGACGTTCCCGGTTCGTTTCCTCGGCCGTTCCCTCGGTCGGCGGTCGTCGAAACCGTGACCACGGTCCGTCGACACCGTCGACCGTCGATAACTTGTAAATATTATACATAGCGCGTGAGAAAGATATTATATTAATTAAGCGGTGTAATGTTGTAAAAAAATTCTATATAAACGCACTGTCGCGCTGTACCATACACTTAACACGTAGATACACGCAACAAATGCATATACGAGACAAGGTGCGCGCGAGCTCTCCCTCGGTTTTTCGAAACGACGCGACGACGCGACGACGGAACGACGACGCCCGCGCGCCCTCGCCCTCGATCATCGCTACCGGGGGATAATACGAGATATATCGAATCGAGATTCCTCTCCGAGCAGGTTCCAAACGACGCATCACCGTGCAGGCACACACAGAGACGCCCGTCGCACGACGGGAGAAAACCGCGTATATATCGGATTAATTCGATCCAATTGATTTCCCCTTGACGCGCGATTTGCGTTTGGAACTTGGTATTCGGACTGCATCCCGACCGTCATCGACCGTCATCGACCGACGACGACCTTCTTCGATCTTAAATATCACGATATTATGAATTAATTATTATTATTATTATTAATTATTAATTATTAATTAATTATTAATTATTATTATTATTATTATTGATGTATTATTATAAAGATTATAAATTCATTTTGAAAGAGATAAAGAGGAAATAAACGATGCTTTTGTGAGTAACCGATGTGCCTCTGAATATCATGATTCCCCCCGTGATCGTGTTCTCCATTAAACGTCTATCATCCCCTAGCTATCTCTCTCTCTCTCTCTCGGCCCTCTTGCTCCTGCCGCCGCCACTTCTTCGATGACCCGCCACTTCCCCCCTCCAGAAGAAGCATCCACCGCTGGATGTCCTCGCTTTAGCTCGCACCTTCGAGGACCTCCTCCGGCGGTATGTATGCCCCCGGTATGTATGTACCACGAAACACCGCGCGTCGGACGTGGACCGAAAACGTAAGTCTCTGCGGATCCCCCGTTGCTTTCCACCCGCTTTCCCCCCGCCCCTCCGCGCTGCTCGAGCGGACACGGCCGGGCTACTTTTTCTCGCGAGTTGCGCCGGTGATTTGCATTAAAATCATTAGCTGGCGTCTTTCGCCCTTTGTCGGTTGGCCAACCGAAAAGCAAGGTCCACGAGGAGGCTTTTTCGTTTTTTTATTTTCAGTGCCGGCGATCTACTCGCCTTGATTAACTCGAAAAAGGTTTTTATCTACTCGACGATACGTGTATTCCTGTTGGCCTATTTACGACGGGCCCGGGAGAACGCTCGCAACCTATCCGAGCACTCGACGTTATTACCGAGGATGACTCGGCTCGTTTGATCCCGGGCCGAGCCTTCCGCCGCTAATGCCTAAATAATGACGTATATACGCGCGACACGCAGCTTTATAAGCTTCGATAAATTTAATTACTCCGGCCTCTCTCTCTCTCTCTCTCCCTTTCTCTCTCTCTCTCTCTCTCTCTCCCTTTCTCTCTCTCTCTCTCTCTCTCTCTCT